AGCTGAACTGCCTCGGACATGGAATGTTGATAACCTAAACAAGGCATATTGTATATCTATCTAACTTGTAATGTGTAAGGTAATTTTTACATTTAAATAATAGTAAGACCTCAGGTTTTTCCACTTAATGTCTCATGCCTTTCAAATATAAAAGAGGCATGACACATTAAGTTTTTCCTGAAGAATCATCCTTAGAAAATTTTCCTTCTTTCTAACTTGCATACCTAGTTCGCCCGTATGACCTAAGCGGTCCCTTTCATTAAGTCCATAGCTTGGGCACACGTTGTTCGCCCGTATGACCTAAGCGATCCCTTTCACCAAGTCCATTAGCTCACACATATATAGCTCGCTAGAATTGTCTTAAGCAGTCCTTTAGCTAAGTCTAGTAGCTCAAACATATATAGCTTGCCAGAATTGACTTAAGCAGTCCTTTATCCAAAGTCCAATAACTCGGACATACATTATTCACCTTTGCAACCTTTTAATTAAACTCATCAAACTAAGCCCATCACTCCTAATACAATCAAAAGAAAAATACTACTAAGGCAAAAGAAGAAAATGCAACACTTATAGAATCAGAACTGCCTTCATTGAAAATAAGATTGTTACATAGCTTTATTATAAAAGGTTTCTTACATAAAATAAGTACAAAAAGATCCCCCTATAGCTAAATACAAAATAATTCCTAAGCTAAGCATCTTGCCCTGAAGGCAAATCTCTAGCAGGGCCTCACCCTTCCGAAGAAATGAAGTGAATATCTGCCTAGATATCCACCTGTTGCGGAGGCGAGCCATCCACGATAGGATCTTCTAGTAAAGGATCACCTCAAATCCCTTCGGCACCCTCCTCCTCCCCTTCCTCTTCATCATCGGAAATATGTCGTTCACCCAGCTCCAGTCCTTGCTCGGATCCTAAACCTTCGACTCAACTATGATTTTGGTCCTAAGGCTCAAGCACACCTTTGCCAAATCTTTTACTATTGCCCCCTCCATATTCCGAAGTCCCTGTAGCTCCTCATCCACCTCCTTGGCTTTGCTCTCCAAATCTTTATTCTTGGCCAATAGGTCCCAGTTCTCCTCCTTTAACTTCTCAAGCTCGGCATCTCGAGCATCTATATCAGCTTTGTGCCGAGCTTCCTGCTTCCTCATAGTAGCTTCAGCGCTTTTTAACGCATCTTCCATTTGATTCTTCTTTACTTCCATCATGGTATAACCTCATTTCAGCTTAGTTATCCAAGCGAAAGCTCAAATTGTTGGCGTTCAGTGCCTATAATAGGCACTGATTGACAAAATCTTTCATCACCATGTCATCCATATGATCGAAATAATGAACATCTACTGGAAAAAGACAGTGGCGAGCCATCTCCAGGCCAGGCCCATCCTCTTGAAGACTGAAATTCGCCCCATACTTCTTTATAAAATAGCCTCAGATATCCGAAACCCTCGCCAGCTCTAGGAGGCACAAGAGGGGGAATAGGGATCGACGAGGCTCGATTGTAGGGCTCAAGTGGGTAGGCTTGAAATGGGAACCCCCCAAAACAACTTCAGCCTCAGTTGGCTAAGGATCCAGCATCGCTGGAGGAACTTCTTTCCTTGAGCTATCAGCTGCAGCCTGTTTTTTCATCGCCTCAGCCACCTTGGCCATCTTAGAACTCTTAGTCTTCTTAGGAGCCATACCTACACAAAGCTAAGAAGGAAAATTTTTAAAATGTCAGTGTAAAGGACTAACGTGTAATGCGACTAAGGATAAAATTTACCAGTGAGGGTAGGGTTCGGCCTTATAGGCCCACCAGGAGAACATACTGGATAACCACAGCTATCACCTGCCTTAGGTTAACAGTAGCTAGCCCTAGCCTTTATTAAGTCCACAATAATACAATCATAGGGGTTGGGTAAGGCAGGCAGATGGCGAAGGGGATCGTTAGACCACCAGTTCGGCACTTTGAACCCTCTTGACCATTTAACAATAAAGAACTTAGATCTCCAGTTCTTCAAGGACGAAATCTTAGAATTCTTAGAAAAGACATTGCAATCTTTCTTCGCTTGAAGGAAACAATGATCCTCATTAGGGCAAACGGAGAAGTAATAAAGCTCTCAAATTGCCAGAGCTATTAAAGTGTGTCCATCTTGGCGAGCTAGGGCAGCTATGGCACATAAGAACCTCAAGCCATTGGGGGTACATTTGACTAGTGGTGATATTATATTCATTGAAGAATGATCTCAAAGGTTCAAACAAAGGAAACCGAACCCCAGATCGAAAACTTTCTTCATACATCATAATAGAGTCTTCATCCAATGGCTAGGTCACCCTCATATTCTCTAAAGACCTAATTAATTTATACTTTGGTGCAATACTGTACATAAAACATATACCCAACAGCTCGCCCTCGTCAAAATCAGAGGAAATGCCAGGGATCCTAACATTCTCCTTTCTACCTTTGACCTCACTCGCCCCTGAGTCTATATCCTCGAAATTCTCATCTCCAGATTGATCATGTAATACTTGAACATCCTTGTCCCAGAGGAACTCATGATCCCAGCTAACGAAAAAAAGAAAAATGAAAATATAAAAAACTTACTTGGAAGTTGAGGGAGAAGGAGTTCTAGAGAGAGACACTCTGATGCTCGGGAAATGGAAAGTGAAACAAATGAAGGGGGATAGAGGCCTTATATAGGCCAGGTGAGGCACTGAAGAGTCCCCTCATGAAATGAAGCAACAATTCGGGTGCCCCCCCCCCCCCCCCTAAAACATATACCCAACAGCTCGCCCTCGTTTCAAAATCAGAGGAATGCAGGGATCCTAACATCTCCTTTTCTACCCTTTGACCTTCACTCGCCCCTGAGTCTATATTCTCGAAATTCTCATCTCCAGATTGATCATGTAATACATTGAAACATCCTTGTCCCAGAGGAACTCATGATCCCAGCTAACGAAAAAAAAGAAAAAAAATGAAATATAAAAAACTTACTTGGAAGTTTGACGGGAGAAGGAGTTCTAGAGAGAGAACACTCTGATGCTCGCGGAAATGAAAGCTGAAACAACATGAAGGGGGATAGATGGCCTTATTATAGGGCCAGGTGAGGCACTTGAAGAGTCCCCTCATGAAATGAAGCAACAATTCGGGTGCCCCCCCCCCCCCCACCAATGCCTTCATTCTCGTCGTAATAAAAGATACCATCACTTGTCAGCCTTTCACAAAGCAACTGCAATAAAAGCTTTGCCCAAAAATACATAAATTAATAATTAATAACAAGGACAATAAAAAAGACATAAGTACTTATATTTTGGACATAAAATATCCACATAAAATTAAGGAGACTACTATTAACACTATCAATAATAAAAATATATCAAATTAGACTCCTAAAAATAACCTTTAACTCCCCCCCACCAATGCCTCATTCTCGTCGTAATAAAAGATACCATCACTTGTCAGCCTTCACAAAGCAATGCAATAAAAGCTTGCCAAAAATAATAAATAATAATAATAACAGACAATAAAAAGACATAAGTACTATATTTGGACATAAAATGACCACATAAATTAAGGGAGACTACTATTAACATATAATAATAAAATATATCAAATTAGACTCCTAAATAACCTCTAACTAATAGATAATATATGATTCGTAATCATTATCCTAACACGATAATCCGGAATCTTGTATATATACCCAGATTTACTCCAAGGAAAGGTCATTCTTTTCACAACTTAATATACCCCAAACTCTGAGAGTTTAACAAGGATGAATGGAAATAATGCAATATTTATAATAAATCCAAAGCTTTTACTTTCAAAATACACTTAAAATTAGTCATTTATAGTTGTTGTGAGGGTTACCTTGGAGTTCTTTACTTTTTTTTTCAAAAATATAGCTGTTGGAACCGAGTGAAATCGCTAGTTCTAATTGTCACAATAAAAAAAAATTAAAAACTTTAAAACCGCCGGTCGCAAAAAAGAAGGAACCAAAACCAAATTGCAAACTCACAATTCCACTTCCTTTTTGTCTGGTTCCATCGCTTCCAAACCTATTGTTGGACCGATTCGAACCTTAAAATGGTCACCCCTGAATCAAACTAACTATGAGGTCCCAAACATTATGATTGCCTTAATACTTTAGTTCATTTTTTTTGGATGGAAGGACCACAATATTAATAAATTATAAATTAAAAACCTCAAAGTTAATTTTTGAAAATAGAGATCTTCATATGTTAATTTTTAACTGTGATTTCGAAACCAATTCTTATTTTCCCCTAAAAATAGCTTGCTAAAACTATAAATAAATGCTTATACATATGAAAAATGGAAAGCATTTTTAGTGTAATATTTCCGTTAAAAATGCCTTTAATTATATTACACTAGATTTTGTTATGAATTATCAAAAAATGACAAAGATTTCATTTAATTATGATAAATTATATTTAATTTAATTACAAGTTACTTAAAAAAACAGTTTTAGTATAAAACCTTTGAAGTTTGAAATCTTTAATTTGCTTTGAAATTTAGGATCTTTATCTTTATAAAAATGGTAATTTAGCATTTTAAATATTGAATGTCGAACAATTAATTTTAAGCTTACCAACTTGCAATTGAAAAATAAAAAACAGTATAAAGTGTACTTGAAACAACGCAATTCTTAAAATTATTTGATACTTCATCATTTTTAAGCTTCTAAAATTCTTTTACAAATTAGACAAACTTTAGAAAAATGTACTACCAAACGTATTTTAGTTCTTTTATCACTATTAAAAACCCTGACTAACTAAAATTTATAATAAACCCAAGTAGAAGGATTATGTTTCCATCCGACACAAATATAAGGTACTATCCAATTCATTTTTCAAAATGAAAAAAAAAAACCAAATTATTAATTAAATAAAACTTTAAGTACCAAATTGTAATTTACCTATTACTTAACTAATCCAAATAATGGATTTCAACTTAAATCCATGAATCCAAACAAAATATACAAGTATTAATAGAAATAGGCTAATTCTAGAAGTAGCCAACAAACAGGGCTAGCAGAGAAAGCTAAGTCCCTTTCCTTTTCATCATAAAATATTAAAGCAATGTCTAATCATTAAAAGGAAAGCTTCGCTACAACATACTCAAGCTAATGTCTTAGTTTAGTACAAATACAGCAATAATACATCTCCACAAATTGGATGGATTACAAGAAAAAAGACATGCACAAAAAAATACTTGTCAAGAGATTACGTAACTTATAGCCTAATGCACAGCCAAACTCAGTCAAATTGCAAACTGGAAGATCCCTATATGCTCAGACAATAGCTCATTATAAGCATTCAGACGCATTTTTGTCGTTCTATATATTAGGTATATAGATATGGTATACAAGGTGATTCCATCCTTGTGTAATTTGAAAACTGCATACCAACAATCTTTTGGGTCATGCATAAATATCAAGTAATTATTACTCCCTCTGTCCCATAATTTTTGTCCTATTTTCCCTTTTTTCGTCTCAAGTTATGTCCTATTTTCTTTTTTAGAAGTGAATAATATTTGAAGTTTGTTATTTTATCCTTTTTTTAATATGCATCTTTATCAACAACTTTAATAGTCAAACTACTACATTGTCATCAATTAAATATATAAACAAAGTAAATATCTTAACCTTTAATCTCCCAATAATCAAATGTTTGATTATTTTTAAGAACAAATTAATAGGATAATTTAATTTTTATGGATATTAACATAAGGGTATATTAGGAAAAAAATGAAACAAAAATTATAGTTTAACTATATTAATTAAATATTCTTCATCTATGTGCAAGCTAAATCAGGACAGGAGTCATGGGACAGAGGGAGTATATGGCAAAAATGAAAACTGATATGAAACATCATTTACCAGCCCAAACGAGCTACACACTCTGTACTTTGCTTGACATTTCTTTCGCTTTTGCATCTTCTTTTCCCTGCAATCCAAGAAATTAAGATGTTTTACATGGTAAGGTATTTGTATACTGCCAATGTATGAGGAAGAGTATCATAAACATTAAGGCCGATAAAACCATTTTAGCGAATAAGCTGCTAATGGATGGTGAGGACAAATAACCAAATCCAAAATACATTGAACAAACCACTAATACACAATCACATTGACAGATTGAACCATTACACTGTCAAAATGCCAAATCTGCAGTTTCCATCAGAAAAAATATGAGTAAACTGAACCGAAGGATAACGCAAGTCTCAAGGTATCAAATGATTTAACAACCTAACACCATTTATCTATAGTACTTGATAATGAATCAAATTGGAGAATAACCATTTCTTCTTTTTGTTACCCGTTTTAAATTCACGTATGTAAAGGATAAAAGAAACAGCTAGGTTCTAGTGGAGTAGAAGGAATCTTCTTGGACAAAATCTAGTGTCTTCCCTGAAAACAAATATAAAGAACATCTTTTCACTTTTCTTATTCAATAATATGTTTTACTATCATTAACTCTGAACTGTGAATGACCAATAGAAACGGCGTCTTTCAAGAGAAGGGATGGTGGGGAGGCGGGCAGGTTTGGTTTGGTATTCCTTAGAATGAATCAGTGTCACAAAATCAGTGTTCCTTTAAAGAATGGTAACAATAAAAGTTAGTGCATAATCTTATTCATTGGTCAAAGGGATATCAGCACCACACAACCTTTTGCAGTACAAGGCCAATGAAAACATTAAACAATACACAACCAACCAAAGTCTAAAATCAAGCAGAATTTAACTTTTTCACCAATAATTTAAAATAAAAAAATAAAAAAGAAGAAGAAAAGCACGTTAGAGTGTTATCAGGCATTCCCAGAATTTTGGATATCAGAAGCAGGTTTCCGATCCAGAATTAGAAATAACTGGACCAATTTATAAATTGTCATTTATTTCCTTGAAAGGCAGTAATTATTCTTTAATGTGGATAAGTTCACCTTCTCCTTTACCTGCACTCTCTCTCCCTTCAAACAAATATATAAATACCTAAAGGCGTCAGGAATGGTTCTGTGCTGCAATCCCCCTTGCAAACAAGGGGATAACTGGGAGATCTTAGTTATTGCTATTTTTCACTTGATAGTCAGAATTGACTTTTAAAATAGATAAGTATATATTGTCTGCCCTGCTCCACATCCACCCACCCATTGCCTCCCGATAAAACAAACAATAATATTGTGCTACAATCAAATGTCAAATAATTGTGAAGAGATGGAAGGGCATGTTAATTGACATTTACCCCTCCACAGAGAACATACCCATTAACATAAGGATACGTGCATTTGAATATAAAGATCTAAAGTCACCAGGTACATGCCCTGCCCTCTTTGACCAACAAGATTGAACCCCAAACATAATAATCAATCAAACGCCCTGAAACAAATTCATGTTTTCCACTTTAAATTGCAGAGTAATCCTTCCCTTCAAAACGATTAATGACTGGAATACGAGCACATATAGTTGAAAACACTTCTTGAAAGCTACTTCTAAGAAATGCTTAAGGTTTTGCAATTCATCATTTAGCAAGAACCTAGCTTTTCCTAATGAACTTTAAATGCATAAATTTTGACAGCAGGAGCAAATTTTTATCCCCAGATGATTCACCTATTTAAAAAGACCCACTTACTTACAGATTAAGGGATGCGCCTGTGTGTGATGTTTCTAGCATTACAAACCCTAAAGCATGGTAATTAAAGATGTAAGGCACACTAGGTGCTAGATTCTAGGCAAAGGGGACTGCCTGAGTAAGGAGAGGTGCGAAAAATTTAAAAAAAAAAAAATTTGAAACACAAATCTGAAAATTATATTATAAGATATCAAGGGAGAGCCTAGATTGCAGGAGGTGAGCCCTAGATAGAGAAGTAGAGGCTACATCACAAAGCACATCACTGGTTTTTATATTTCATTCTATTTCTTTTATTTATTTGTTTGTTTATTTTATGTAAATAGTAACTTTATATTGAAAGAAAAACCTAGGTGACTTGTTCAGGGAAAAAGAAAATCGCAAACCCTGTCTTTCTTCTGAGGTGATCGCCTGAGTGAGGGTACCCACTTAAGACATTTTAGGGGCAAGCCCCAAAGAGGGTCCGTCAAACTTGTGTGAGCTTCACCTTGCTTTGCAAATTTAATTCTTACACAATAACCATCATCAGCAATTCTCATTCTTAAGGTTATCTATGAAAGCCACAAGTAGTTCTTAATGTGAAACAGATCTGCAAGCAAGTAAGAATAATTTCCAATAATTTGCACACTACATTTAGAATATCTGATCAAGGGGATCCTTGCATATTAAAAGATTTATATACGATCCCTTCTATAGACCATTGTTGCTATCAAAGTACTATTTCTCTACAACCACTCCTTTAAAACTTGTCATTCTTTCCAGGCTCACTTGATGAATACAGTCCTTTCATTTCCGCAAAGCATATATTTCCTTTAGATAACTGATCGGGCTTGTAAAAGAAATAATAAAACTAGAAATTCACAATTTCGAGATGCTGAGAGCAAGACATGAGTTGGATGTTACTTTGGATTTAAAATCTGTTTGCGCACACGCAATATTCACTAAGAAGTAGCATACTTGCGAGTCAAGTTCTTCAAGGCAAAGCATCACAAGCATATTAAAGAGGCTAATTTCCAGGAGAAGCAACAGCTCAGCTGACTAGGCTGGTAGTTTAATCTAGGTTACACAGCTAACACCCAACAAAAGTATAAATAAAGACCTAAAATTAACATTCTGTTTTAGACCAAGTAGAATCATCACCGAGCTCTCTTTTAAAGTTTATCATCGCCAAAGAGAGAGTTTAGTGTTATTATAGAAAATTTCACAGCATTGCATAAACACCTTTGCCTGTGAACTGATAAAACACGTACAAGAAGAAAATTTAAAATCTCATTTCATCAATGCAACTAGCTTTCTGAACTGATATCAACCAACTGATAGTGAGTGAATTATGCAATGAGATTGATAAACCAATTAAATCATACAATGCTTTAGAACGTGCTACATGCCGGAAAGCCAGAGAATAATTATGACAATCAAACTATATATAAAACAAAATCATTGCACATAAAATCTTGGTTGATGTGGAATGAAGCTTAATGAAGCAAGTAACTAAAAAAGAAAAGCCATATGACACAAAAAGAAATTGCTTCTAAGTTACTTCCCTTGTAACTTCAACAATAATTTATGCTACCAAACTTAACACTGATAATTAATTCTAATGCTGAAAAAAGATATTGCAAAAAGAAAACAAACTTGATAACAACAATGACGGCAATTATAATTCTAACTATAAATGGATAGGGATTAGGATTGTGCCCTTGAATTAACATTTGAACATAACAAATTTTAGAAACATCATAATAAAGCATTGATGAACAAGAAGATACTAGAAAAAAAGAAAAGGAATCAAGCTTACCAATTCCTTGTTCTCATAATAATCATCCAAAGCCCATTGATACTTGGACTGATTTAACCCAAACCAACGTGCCAAATGCTCATCTAAGCTCGAATGCGCTGCAAAATAACACAAAATATTAATAGCAAACTCTTAATTAAGCTTTTCCCCAGATTCTAAAAACTAAAAAAGCATAGAATCTACTATATTTTGTAAAGAACAAAAAGGTCAGGAATAGCCCAAAAATGATTAAGCAGAATTTTTCTCTTAGCTCAATGTTCAATTTTCAATATACCAAGCTCAACTCAAATAAGCGAGAAACAAAGTATAATGCACTGAAACAGAAGGAAATAGGAAGAAATGGCACACCGTTTTGCACTTTAGTAACAGCATTTCTGAAGAACTCAGAAACGGACCCATCTGATAAAGAGTGAACAGAAACGGACTTCTCGATTTGCGGAGGTGGGGGCTGCACAGGAGGCGGTGAAACTACTTTTTTAGGAGAATGGAAGACCGGCTGGTCCATCTCCGCCGGTTTAGGAGTGGACGGAGGAGTCATAAACACTGTGTACGGCCCAATTTTCCCGATCATGGGAGGAGGAGTAGATGGGTCCTTGTTGATTGGCATTGTAAAGAAAAATGAGAAGGAAAACGAAAGAAAATGAGAGAAAACGAAAGAGAAAGGAAGGAATTCTCTGTTCTTTTGAAAGAGCAAGTGAAAGAGTAAAGAGAGAGAGAGAGAGAGGAAAGAATCTAAAAGGGTTGGGTTTTAGACTTTTGAGTAAGTGAACTGTGAAGTGAACAGTGCACACAAACCAAGTTGTTAGATCTTTGTCTTTTGATAAGTACTACTGTTTTTTTTTTATTCCCTTTTTTTTTTTTTTTATCTTTTCGTTATTTTAATTTGTTTCTATTATTATTTTTTTTACTGTATTTTTTGTTTAAGAATATTTGTAGGCACATGGTTTTGTCTGAAATTTTTTTATAAGGCATTTGTAGACTTATGTAAACATAGACCGTACATTTATGTAATCTATAGACTTAAGGGAAAGGTTGATACTTCTATTTTTACCACATATATATATCGTAAGGTTGAACTGTGAAGTGAACAGTGCACACAAAACCAAGTTGTTAGATCTTGTCTTTGATTAAAGTACTACTGTGTTTTTTTTTTATTCCCTTTTTTTTTTTTTTTTATCTTTTCGTTATTTTTAATTTGTTTCTATCTTATTAATTTTTTTTTTTTACTGTATTTTTTTGTTTAAGAATATTTGTAGGCACATGGTTTTGCTCTGAAAATTTTATTATAAGGCATTTTGTAGATTATTGTAAACATAGACCGTACATTTATGTAATCATATAACTATAGGAAGAAAGGTTGCATAACTATCATCTTCACCACATTATATATATATATTATATATATATATATATATATATATATATATTGTGGTAAAAATAGAAGTTCTATCAACTTTATTATAGTTTTTTATATATGTGGTAAAAATAGAAGTATCAACTTATATAGTTTTTTTTTTTTGAATATTTGGAAAAAAGATTTGAATCTAGATCATTATCAGATTGTATATGCACTTACCACTAGACTATATCTTAATGTGTCTATTTATATATTAAGTACATGCCAACGGGTAAACATTACTTATGAATAAAATATTTCATTTCCATAAAAATATAATTTGATTGTCACACGTTAAACAAATGAGGTCAAACTACAATTTTTGTTTTTTTTTTTTCAAGTAAATGGTAAACGGTTGGGCAACGCATCCAAAAAAATTGGAATTCTCAATTTGCATTTACTTAAACTTGTATGGTTTGAAGTTGGAAAAGAAAAATAAATTTAAAAAAAAAAAACAATTTGAGTATAGTAAATTAATTAGTTCAGTAATTTGATCCGTAAATGGTAAAACTCCATCAATAATTTGATAATCGATAAGTAAATATGTAAATGGATCGGTAAACAATAGATACTCAAGTAATAAGTCAGTAAATTGGTTAATGCAAATTCGATAAACAGTTAACTACATCGATAAAATGTATATCCCTAAATAAAAGTGCATATTTAGTTATTTACTTTTAAGATTTAATTTATAACATAATACTATATTTATTGATAGACGTGAATATTAAATAGTGGTAGAATAGAAATTTGTAAAAATTATATTTTTTAAAAAGGAAAATAAAAATGCAATTTGAAACAAATAAAAAAAATGAATTGATTTAGCACTTGCAAACTTAACTAAGCATATAATCAAATAAAATTTCCAAATTGTAAGGAGGAAGTAGAGATAGTGATAGATAGTGTCCAATTTTGCAATATCTATATGGAATCTGCTAATAAGAACTAATATTGCATCAAATTGGATTCGAGTTCATATTAGATCAGACAAAGTTACTATGTATAAAATAACTAAAAGAACTCACTTTAAAAAATTAATTGAACAAAGTTAGATCAGTTGGAATCAAATTAGAAGATCTCTAATACAACAATGAATTGCTTTAATTTATTTATCACATTTAATCTATGAATTTGATGTGTCAAAAAAAAAAAAAAGAAACTGTCTATCACGCTCTTTGTGTTTAAAAGCTTTGTTAAACAGCGTGACTCAATTTTTTATTTTATTTTATGTCTTTGATCAAAAATTTATTCATACGCTGAAACTATTTTTTTTTTTTTTCATGTATTGAAAAGTCATTTTTAAAATCTAACATTTATGAATACAGTTTAGTCACGTCACTGTCAATTTTTATTTATTAAGATAAATAAGCTATAATCAATGGTTGGATTGCTGGTACTTTTGTTAACTATTTTGTATCCGTTCCATCTTCAAACAAATCAAAATTTGCCAGCACCAGTCGCATCGGATCAGTTCAGACACATGGAGCATATCAAGAAGAATATGATCCAAGGAATTACCAAGGTCATGTGGGGCCTGTGTTTCTTTTTAAAAAAGAAAAAAATATTAACAGTAAGACACCTTTAATTGTTAGCGTTTTGAGTATTAGACTACAATATTCTTAACTTTTTACTGTGAATAATTCATTTTTACTCGAATCAGACAGATAGACTTCATATGATAACGAAAGCTAACAAAGGAAATAAATAATTAATACAAAAATCAAGATAAAATTGCTGCAAAAAAAAATTGATGAAATAAAAATTTACAGTGCAACATAAAAATAGCACAAACTTTCTCTTTTTTTTTTTTTTTTACTTTAGTTTGATTGACGGAGGATAGAATTTCATAAAATTAAAATTTAATTTTTACTTGTAAAATAAAAATTATCAAAAGATGAAAGCTTAACATAACACAAATAATAAATTTCAAAAAAAAAAAAAAAAAATTCTTAACATAACCAAACACAAATAAATAAATTTCAAAAAAAAAAAAAAAAAAAAAAAAAAAAAAATTATATAGCTCATTAATACCAAACAAGATCTTAATTACATTTGAAACCACTACTTAAAATAAAAACAAGAAAAAGAACATATAAAATTAAAAACTTGAATCCCAAATCAATATCACAATCCATTTTATTTGAAATTATTGATCATTTAGAGGGAAAAAAAACATATCTACGCAACTGAAAATTGACATTGAAAAAGCAAGCAAAAACAAGTTCAAAAGGTGGAAGAGCAGCAACATACACATGAAATTTGTTTAGTTACATTCCAAGCACTAGCAGTAGTACTTAACTCATTATAAACATGCACTTGTTTCTGTTTCAATTCTTTGGTTCAGATTACAGAACTGAATAGCAAAGCATGGACATAACAAGATCACTAAGCCTACATTATATCAATACCTACCTGTCTACCCAATACTACTAACCTATCAAGGAAGGAAGAAGAAGAATTATCCAATGTGCATGGTGAAGAGGAGAGGAGTAAAAGAAAAAAAAAAAAAAAAAAAAAAAAAAAAAAAAAAAAAAAAAAAAGCAACGAGGTTTCCAAGGTCACCTTATGGAAAGTTCAACCTGGAGCAGCGCAGAACACACCTTGCACAACGAAGGGAATATTCGTGTGTCAATAATTTGAGACAGAGCTTTTTTTTCGGACCTAATTGTACATTAAAGGGTCCTGACGCAAGGACCAGACACCCTTTGTCTCTCTGGAAGAGAATTATTAGTCGCGGACTGACACCAGTTTCAGTCACGGCTGAGTTTCGACGAAGTAAGGAGTCGATCTCCACAGTCCCAGTGAAATTCTTACAGTGCTTTCGAGGTGATCTCCTTTGCGCTCAGCTTTTCAAAGTACTCTTTTTTATGTTGTTGTGTTTAATCGAGGAAGGTAAACGAGTAGCTAGGCCAAGGAAAGGCTCGATGGGGCTGCAGCGTCTAGCATCGCTACCTTCGAGATCCTCGCGCAGTTTGACACGCCAAGGACTATTGCGGCGGCCTTGTCCGCTGTCCCATAACCCGAGCACATGTACTATGTCCCCAGGCAACAATCGTGGAGGTCGCCCTGGTACCATTTCAGAATCCTCCACGTAGGTATTTTCAGTCGGGTAGGGTCCAAAAGGTAGAAGTTGGGAAGGCAGTGAGAAATGAGTTAGTTGTTAACCCGACGCAACTGAGCCAAAACGAAGATATCCCAGGATTCTACCACCTGAAAAAAAAAAAAAAAAAAAAAAAAAAAAAAAAAAAAAACGAGTTTCAAGTCACCTTATGGAAGTTCACCTGGACAGCCAGAACAACCTTGCACAAGAAGGATATGCAATAATTGACAATCACCTAATACAAAAGGTCCTGACCAAACCAACATTTGTCAAGAGTTATTAGTGACTGAAACAACAGTTTCAACTGAGTTTCCAAGAAATGATCTCACAGTCCAGAAATTTAAGGCTTCAGGTGATTCCTTTGCCTCAGCTTTTCAAATACTCTTTTTATTTTTGTGAATCAGATAACAGAGCTAGCCAAGGACAGCTCATGGAGCTCACTTAGCATCCACTCCTCGCCAGTTTGACCGCCAAGGACTATTGCCCTTGTCCCTCCTACCACACATGTACTATGTCCCCAGGCAAAACGTGGAGGTCGCCCTGGTACATTTAGAATCCTCCACGTAGGTTTTTCATCGGTAGGGTCCAAAAGATAAAGTTGGGAAGCAGAATGAAGACCAGCAACTGAGCCACCAAATATCAGGATTCTACCACCTGGAAGGCTCACAGCTACATGATCAAGCCTTGGAGGAGGAGCTATGCCACCTGGGTTTCCAGCACCAGGCATTCCGCTCCCAGTTACACACCTCCAACAAGGCTCCTCCTCACTTAGATCCATAGTGAAAACATCACTGGAACGGAATCGAAGTGGACCACTCTTAGCCAAACCCCCAAACATCAATATCTTCCTGCCACCATAAACTGAAAGAGTATGACCCAGCCGTGAAGGTGGGGTCCATGCTACTGGTATCTCCCTCCAGACTGGTTTTTCCATTGATAGATCAAGCAGAAATGTGTCACTAAGAAGTACCCCAGAATCTGCACACCCACCTGAGACTATCAGCTTGGTGCCATCAAGAGTGCAGGAACTGTGCCATGATCGTGGAAGTGGTGGAGCCAATCCAGAAATCTCACGCCAAGTTGGAGGCTTGGCATCCAAGTCCAAAACAAAGACATCATTGAGTAAGCCTTGCCTTCCACAACCTCCAAAAACCACCAAATGAGACCCATTAACACAAGAGAGGGTGTGACCCCACCGTCCAGGAGGAGGGGAGCTCACTTGCACATGTTGCCACTCAGGGTTGCTGGAGTTCAAATCCAGTACAAATGTGTCATTCATCGGTTGCATGTTAACACCTTCCCCACCAAAAAGGACAACCCGATTTCCTACTGCACAAGCGCTAAAATTGCATCTTGAGGGTTCAACAGCACCTCCAACAGTTAGCTTTCTCCAAGCTGCTGCTTCAAGAGTCGTCAATTCTCTTGCAAGGCGGCCCCATCCAAGTCTCTTTGCACCAGGAACAGTTTCCAAAACACGAGTTGTTTCACTACCCCAAGCATTCTGACAAACCATTCTCCAAAGGTCCTCATTCTTCGTCAGTTCATAGAGTCGCCTACACACTGATCCAATAGATGCAATGTCTCTTGGAGTTAAACGTGAAAGTATCTTAAGAGATATCACCTCATCGCTCAACTGCAGTATCCCACAAAACCCACGACAAACATTGCGATCCCCTGCTGGAGTAGGACGGTAGGTGGAAAAACCAAAACGAAGCTTATCAGCTGATTTTAGAGACTCCTTTATTGAAGAACCAGGCACGGGCCCCAGATCAATATTTGCTTCTGTGAAGAACTGGATTCCGATAACATGAGTAATTGTTTCATCATCTCCATATATAGGAGTAAGCCGCAACCTGTTCATTAGGGGAGATCCATCTTTTCTGAAGTTCAATAATTCACCTTGGAATTCAATTCCCTCTTCAAGGCACCTTCTTATTTCTGCAACAACTGTGGAGTCCACTAGTGAATGCCTTCTTTTGGCAAATGGTCCTCTACATTGCAAGAATCGGCTGTAAAACAAAGCCAATATTCAGCATGTAAGCTGTGACGAACATGAAACCTAAAAATTTTAACAGTTACAAGATATTACACACACATACACATGGAGGAAGGGGATGAACAATATTGGGTAGAAAGAGGGAGCAGCAGCAAAAGTTCATGTACTCCTAAAAACCTAACCCACCTGGAATTGCAGAGTTGGAGAAAGAAAACTAATCCACTTGGAATTGCAAAGAGCTGTAGAAAGTACTACACAGCTAGACTATACATACACATCCAGACTAACTTTCAGTATTTAAATCAATTTTGACAATGACAAACACACATGAAGGCACAAGTCTTATCTTACTAGTAAATATAATATTGACAATAATGGTAATTAAAAATTAATTGGGTGGGGGAAAAAGCACCAAAAAGGATAATAAACTTTCATAGCTATCACTGAAAAATGAAATGCTGATATAGGAAGTCCAACGCTCTATTGAGTCAGATATATGATATCTCTAAATTCCTTGTCCAATATGCTACAGATCATTAATTATTAAATGCCAAGTTATAAGCATTCAGGACCAAAGTACTTCACACATTTATTATAATTACAACAAAAATAATGAAAACCAATTTATAGAGCGCTGTCATTAATTTATTTATTTAAAAAAAAAGGAAAAACAAAAAGGAGGCCCTAGGAAGAACATCAATAACAAATGATCCTAAAATAAGTATGGTAATTTTCCAATTTTTCTTTTGAATTGAACAGAAAAATGTATTTCATCACAAACATAAAGCTTGAAGCATTTAAGAAAAAAATTCTTGATGATTATAAAATTCATGCATAATGCAAATTGAAGGCTATTATATAGTTTAGTGGCAACAGTTTAGGCATAAAAGAGGTTTAATGTTTGAGGCCTCCAAGCAAACACATAATACAAAAGAAAGCCCATCACCATAACAAACTCCGGAGTCTCTATTTCAGTGTTACAATTGTGAAATTTCAGAACTTAATGCAAATTCTATTTCCTGCAGTCACTAAGCAATTAAAACAATTAAATAACTAACATATCAAACCTGTTACTTAGTGCCTTTCATATTAAAAAACAACATTTGTTTATTAAAATAAGAAAAGGAGAAAAATAACTTGATTGTGGATTAAGAAATAAAGCAGGGGATTCTACTGATATAGGTATGTTATATGTCTGTAAAACTTCAAAAATAAAGTTGTATCATACTTTCAAAATCCTCCAGAAATCAAAACAGCATAGAAGGTATGACAATATCTACAACCAAAATTGCATTATGCAGTAATTCATTTCAGAATTGTTGCTTTTAGTGATTTCCAATTTTAATCAGTACAATTGAAGGTGTTTGAGAAATAATGGCACAGTTGATTCACTTTAGAAAAATGGAATGGGAATGGAAAAGGATGTCTCTTATTTTAGGGCTTCCATTCCAATCTTAGTTTTTCAATGATCAAATATGATTCAATGGTAATCTCAAATATTATACTTTAAGCTCCAACCGTTCATGGAAAATATTTAACCAAGAACACGTTTTTTACATTCAAGTATTTGGGCACTTAAAAAATAGTCAACAGAGTTTCATGTCGGGTAAAGAGATAACCAGTGGTTATGAGGTTATAATCCAACAGAAAATCAAATAGCTCAAGCCGTTTAGTTGCTTCTTTAATAGATGATCGACATAGTGAATAGACTAGATACTTATTCATTAATCATATACTTACATGACGCCAATAAAATGTTTTTTTACCTTAAAATTTTGGTTATTGGATAAGAATGTAGTATATACTTACATGAACCCTAAAGTAGATAGGTTACATACCAAAAGTGATCAATAATTGACCAAAAACTATTTTTTTAATTCTAGCAATAGATTATATGGTAGTAAACCAATACTTGAAAACATCCTAATGAGGTTATATTTTGTGGTTCTCACCTCCATGGTGCTTAAAGACATTTTACAAGAAATGATGACAAGGATAGTGGTGAAAGCTATGCATATCAACCTTAATTGCAGTAGTATAAACCCAAGAAAGGTCCAGAACCCTTCACTATCTAGTTACTTAGGAGCAGAAGAAGGGAAATTAAAGCATTTAGATATTTAACGCCCTCAGGGAAACTTAAAAGGACGATGAAATCATTGGAGAAGTTATCACTTCTAAGGTTGATAGTCAAAGCCCCAAGGAACAACTGTTTTCAGAAAATTGAAATTTTAAACGCTTCTAAAAATTGAAAACCTTCATTTCTCTTATTCAACTAATGAAACCCCAATGAATGGAACCAGAGTCATAAGAACTCTTGCAGTGTTAAAAATGCAAACTTGGCCCAAGAGGAATGTAATTCTAATTCTACTAAAATCGATACATAAGGAAAGCCACAAAAGGAACAAGCATGAACAACTATAAATTACTTCCAAAAATTAGAGCTAGTATTCAGTCACTTCATTAAATTGCTATCAAACATGCTTATTGCACAAGTTGTCAGAGGTTTGCGCTGGTCTCGACTCAAATTAGCGGTGTAGGCATGCTAAAGCTTAGTTAGTGAGTCCTTGGACAGTCATTTCTCTTAACCACTCAAAAGATTTGCAAGTGTTGGCAGCACTGTACTACTATGTTAATGAAGAGAAAAAATTACAATGAAGAGACAAGGATATTCTATTAGTTATCCCATCAGAACAAAGAGAAAATTCATTGAAAATGGAACAGTAAATCAATATGCAGTCCCAGTTTCCACAGAGATTGCACATATTTTGCTGATAACATGAGGGCAAAAAATATATATAACACAAATAGTGAAAGCAACATGCATTTTTCATTCAAGTAAGGATCTGAACATAAGTTCTCAGCAGACTGGAAAAACCAGCATGGGCTTTTCACAATCCTAGCCTAAGTTCAACCCAAAGAAGCAAAATGGCTCACCTATTCCATTTTTTTTATTTCTATTTTTCATTAGTCAAGTTGACCAACTCTGGACATTCATCAATGGATATGAACCCCCTTCTAGCATACATGAACCCCTTTCCAATACAATACAATGTTGGCAGATATAAATAATACAACATTTAATCTCCACTGAAGCCTTAAATGAGAAGGAATACAATCTCAATTGGTTTTTCATGGTCGACGTAGTAAAAAAGTTCAAGTAAAGCATCAACACTTCATTTGGCACTCTCCATTTCTGAGAAACGAATACAAATAAGGACCGTTCTTTGCCCTTTTTTATATGACCGTAGCCAAAACTAAAAAGGATAAGCGCACCTAATATGTCACGAGATTAATTCATTCAGGCTCCCTTCTGAAACTAAAGGACAGCATACACATAAAACTTCCATCGTTTTTTAATGCTGCTGAAATAACTTGGATTAAAAAGGATAAATTCCTGAATACTCATCTTGTATTATGATCCACAGTTTGCATTAATGTAAAGTTACAGTATTAATTTAGAGAATTTGTCAATACCCAACACATCATGCTTCACATATATCATTAGATGGTACTTGATAATACTGGATTATAAGGAAAACAGGTAAAATTGCAACAGAAAATATAAAATTTAAGAAAAATGAAACATCCATGTTGTGCATAGGATGAAAAAACAAGAACTAGGTGCACAAATTTCTAAGGAACTACTTGATGTTGAAACTCCGGTTATCTTGTACTTGAAAATTCGTACTGTTCTCCTTTAACACTTGGATAAAAACAGAAATTTTCAGAAGTTCAAGATGCACACAGACATGAATATGTAGATTTATTTCTTCCCAAGCTTGCTCTTGTTTATGCTTGTAGTGCAACCTTCTTACCTTGTTTTTTTTTTTTTTTTTCAACTAAGCCTTAAATTGTTCTTTTTGATTAGTCAAAATTAGTCCAGGACAGCCCTTATTTACCTCTGTTCTAAATTCTAAATCACTAACCCTCCACTAAATTTCATGTATCACAACACAAAACCCTTGCAAGTCAAAAATACCCAACACGATAACACAATACTGTTCCTAACTTCTGCTTGCTCGAAACATCCGGATATATCAACAACTTGATTAATTTCATACTTAATTACATAACCTTTCCCTTCCTTCTTGCAGCTTTAGACACACAAATAGCATAGCATTTTCCCCACCCCCCTCAACTTTTCTTAGTAAGTTCTCTTTCTCAACAAAAATCCACAATCACACTTGAAAAGCTGATAGTATTTTCCTAAAAATTCCAGCAATTATCTTGTTAAGCATTCAATCCTACACCGCCAATCCCACATCTAAGACAACATAATCAGCCAAATAAACATTGAACCTCTTTTCCTACTAATTGACAAACTATAAAGATCATGCTCCCAAGACATTTTATAAGCATGAGGCAGATTTCACAAAACTGTTTTATATTTTAGCTCAGTCTCATGTTAACAAAAAAAAAAAAGATTTATCTCACAATATAGACATCCGCAAATAGTAGTCTCATAACAAAATGTTCAATATGTGCAGCAAATGGAGTGCCAAAAAACAAAAGGGTTAAAATGCATAGCTGCTAGCGTCTTTCAACACTTTGAAGCAAGAACATCTTATTTATCCAAAAGATTCCAAAAGCCCCAGGTGGAGACCTTTGATGGAATAACAAGAAGCATGCTGTAGCTATGATAATAAGGATCATCCAAAATTAGCTCATCCATTTCTCTTATCTAACAGAGTCTAAGCTCGCCAACTCTCTAAAATTCATTGGAAAGGCGAACACAAAGGTAAGCATTCATTTCCTAAAATACATATATAAAAATCCAAAACAGAAAAGTGGGTTTTAAACAACCAAATTAAAGAACCCTAAAGAGCTAGAAAGAGCAAAAAATTAATCGAAATAAACAAATTCCAATCAAAATTGCAAAACTCTACACTTGAATTAACAACTTCAAATAGAAAAAAGAGCACTAACCAGTTACGCCCCAACACTTCCTCAGCTCGATAGCCAGTAACCATCTCAAAAACGGTATTGACATAAATAATAGGATGGTCAGGCTCAAGTGCATCAGTGACAACAAACCCACACGGCGCCGTTTGAATCAAATTCCCAACGGGAAAAGGAAGCGGACCACCACCATCACCATCGTTGAACGTGAAACCCTCATCTTCATCACCGCTCAGATCCGAATTGCTGTCCCACTCCATTTGAAGAAAACAGGAAACAGAGAGAAATTTATCTAACCCATTAACGAATAGAAGGGGGGAAAAAAAGGTCACCAAGAAATTACAAAGATCTTAAAACAAACAAGTGGGTTTTTCTAGAAAGTTAGAGAAGAGTAAGAAAGTGAGAAAGAACGTTTTCGTTCTGTACAAGGTATATGAAGATGGCGAGACAACGAGTGGTAGGCAACGCTTGCAAATTAGTTATTTTTAGCTATATGAGAATGCGAGAGAAAGAGAGATGAGTCGGGTCTCTGTTTGGGTCTTGTTTTTTTACAAGTGATTCGTGAAGAGTCGCTGAGTCACCGCCTTTGGTTTGCTGAGACAAGGTTAGGTCTGCCGTTGTTTGTTTGAAAATTTTTATCTCTAAGCAAAAAAAGAAAAAAAGTAGTTCGTGACTTACAGTCAAATTAATATATAGTAATCTCTATTTCCAAAAACTTATTATAAAATTTTTAAATTATAATTTTATTAACACTTTGGTCCTTCCGTCTGAAAAAAAGACTAAAGTATTAATGAAAAATTATAAGGAAAGTATCAAAGTGTTGACAATTATCATTCCTTAGAAATCTTGTAGTTAGTTTGAGTATAATTTAGAGACTAATTTCTTAGTTAAATTGACAGAGGCTCTTTTGGATAAAAGGATTAATGTGTTAACAGAATTATAAATTAAGGATCTTACAGTTAATTTTTAAAAATATAAATTTTCATAGGTTAATCTAGCTATAACTCGAGAACCAATTTATTTTTTTCATATTTTAATATAAAACATTATAATTAGAGAAGCAGTGGGATAATTTCATTAAAAGTATGTTTGGTTTGATTTGAACTAAGAGCTAATAGCCAATAGTAATCACTTGTAACTAGCAGTTTATAATGATTCATGTGAAATATAAAAGAAACTATTAAGATTATATATGAAGTATAATTTAGAGACTAATGTTCTTCAGTTAAATTGAGCAGAGGCTCTTTTGGATAAAAGGATTATATGGTTGTTTAACAGGAATTAATAAATTTAAGGATCTTCAGTTAATTTTTAAAAAATAATAAATTTTCAATAGGTTAATCTAGCTATAACTCGAGAGACCAATTTTACTTTTTTTCAAACTAATTTTAATATAAAACATTAATAATTAGAGAGAGCAGTGGGATAATTTCATTGAAGACAGTATGTTTGGTTGATTTGAACTGAAGAGCTAATAGCCAATAGTAATCACTTTGTACTAGAGCCAGTTTATAATGATTCATGTGAAAATAATAAAGAACTATTAAGATTGATATATATAATATATATATATATATATATATATATATATATATATGATATATATATTTTTTTTTTTTTTTTTTTTTTTGAAGCGCAAAAATGAGCTCAAACCCGATAAAATAACCGATAATCCTTTTCTCCGCGGCGTTTTTTTGAACCAAAAAATGAGCTCAAACCGATAAAATAACCGATAATCCTTCCGAACAGATAATAAACAGTTACGGAGAGAGTGGATCCCCCTATCTCAAACCTTTGTGAGGGACCACAGGCCCATACTCTTCAGTCCCTTTAACAAAGAAACAAGAAACTGAAGTTACCACCCTCATTATCTTTGAAATCCATGCTTCCGTAAAACCCATCTTGACCATAATTAACTGCAAATATTCCCATTCTATACGATCATATGCTTTGCTCGTATATATTTTCAAGGCGATAAGACCTGATTTCCCATGTGTTTTCCTTTTAATAGTGTGAAACATTTTATAAACTACAATAATGTTATCTGTAATTAATCTATGAGGAATAAATGCACTTTGGGTTTCTGAAATAAGAGAGGGCAGCACCTATTTTAGACGATTTGCTATACCCTTGTAAACAATCCGATCAACAACATTACTTAAAGAGATAGGCTGCAGATTAGCAACCATTTTAGGAACAGATTTTTTGGGAATTAGAATCACATTTGTACGATTTGAGCCTGGCAAACCCGAACCTGCATTAAACAACTCAAACAAGCTGCAGTTACATCAACTCCCACAACATCCTAGTAATTTTGAAAGAAGAATGGATTCAAGCCATCCGATCCAGGAGACTTATCCAGATGCATTGAAAAGCAAGCTTGTTTCATGTCTCAGCCATAAACGGAGCAATCAAGAACTCATTTTGATCATTTGTAACTCGACAATCGGCATAGGAAAGGATTGGAATTGGATCACCCTGATGAGAGGTAAATAAATGTTGATAAAAATTCAGAACAATTTGAGGAAGACCCGAATCCCAATCAACCTAGGAACATTCATTATTTTTAAGTCGAGAAATAAAATTCTTTCGATGCCGATTAGAAGCCATAAAATGGAAGAATTAGAATTAGAATCTCCTTTTGCCAATCAATGTTGTTTGATTGTTGCTTCTAGTATAGCTCATTTTTAAAAGCAAACTACTATGTTGCTCCTCCATTTGTTTGAGCAAAAACATATTAAGGGTAGGTTGCCAATGCAAAAAATCAAGTTGTTGTTTCGCTTGGCGAAGTCTAGGTCGAAACTCTTTATGATAATCTGCTAACCATGAGAGAAGCAACTTAGAGCAGGAGAGGCAACACGACTATTTAAATAATTTAAGGAAGAATAGTCAATCCCTTAACTACCACTTGCTAATAGTTCTCCTCCACAGTCCAAGAATTTTCAAATCTAAACCTCTTCTGAACATATCTTCTGAACTTGACTCCAATGCATACTATTTAAATAATTTAAGGAAGAATAGTCAATCCCTTAACTACCACTTGCTAATAGTTCTCCTCCACAGTCCAAGAATTTTCAAATCTAAACCTCTTCTGAACATATCTTCTGAACTTGACTCCAATGCATAAGAATAAAGGAAGGTGATTAGAAGAATCGGTTGGTAATACATAAACCTTTGCCATTTTGAAAATCAAAATCCATGCACTACAAGAGATTGCTCTGTCTAACCGTTCACGTAGAATAACTTCGTCATCCCTTTTATCTTCCCACGTGTAGCGAGGCCATCATACCCCATGTCATGCAATCCACAATTTGTTAAAACACTTTTGAAACCTTTTAAAAAAACTGTGGATGGGAATTATTGCCCTGTTCTCCAAGAGATACATGATGTCATTAAAGTCCCCAATTACACACCAAGGCAATGAAAATTTTTTCTTTAGGGAGCGAAGCAAATTCAACCCTAAACTCCTTCTGCCCCTATCTGAATACCCATAAAGACCGTTAGACACTAAGAATTCATACCCTTAATATAGACTTGAATGTCTATATGATGATGAGAATAACTAATCAACTTAGCTAACTTAGATTCCTTCCATAATAAGGCTAAACCACCACCAATGTCAATTGGGTCCCCTATAAAAGACTCTATATAGCCCAAAGCTCTCCTTACTTATAATAACTTTTCTTGCTTTATTCTAGTTTCCATAAGGAAAATAAAATTGAGTTTCTTATCAGACACATAGTCCTTCAAGTCCCAAACTGTATGTGGGTTCCCAAGCCCTCGACAGTTCCAACTTATGGAACTCATTGGGCCAGGCAGGCCTAGGAACCAGAGCCCCAAGTTCTTTGGATCAAGCTCGATAGCTTCGGGGATTACTTCATCATCCATCAAACTTCTTTCACATGAGATTCCTGCTCTAGCCTTCTACATTTAGGATCTGTTATAATATGATTCCTGCTCTAGCCTTCATCATATATATATATATTTTTTTGAATCAAAAAATGAGCTCAACTCATATTATTCATATCAATAAATAAAGGTGCATACAAAAAAGGAGGGTATACCCCCCATGAAAAACAAGTTATAAAATTTGTCGCCCTAACTATAGTATGGGCAATATGATTCGTTGGCCTTCTAATAAAACTCTAAGAAACATATTGAAGCTCATCAAGTACAGCTTTACAATCAATAATCACCAAACCAAATTAGGAGTCATAACTGCATGGAGATTTTAAAGCATCCACTATAATCTTTACAATCAGTCTCCACACATATAGGAAAAAAATGGCAATGCCTTCATCCATCTTAAGGCTTCTCTAAAACACATAGCTTCCCCAACTGAGGATCATGAAGGCCCGGTTGAATAAGCAACTGGCCCGCACATCAATGGCCTTGATTATTTCTTATAAGCATTCCCAAGCCATAAAAACCAGAAGACAACACTGCTACATCAATATTACATACAAACTGACCTAGTAAAGGGACCTTCCATACATTGTGCTCTTGTTCACCTAAGACAACATGTGCTTTGCGTTGCGATCTCACTGCTTTCCATTCTAAAAGAATAGCACGAGCTCTACTAATGATAAAATGTGGTTATCAAAAAAATCGATGCCAAACAACCTCATTTCTATGCAGCCACAAGCTCCAAAATACCATAAAAACTTCCTCCTGAGAACACTTAGCCATAGAATTTAAAACTTGAGAAAGCCATGAATTTAAAAAATGGAAGAGCTCCAACCTAGTGATGATAAAAACCAAGCTGATTGTTTATGAGAGCATTGATACAAAATATGCAAAGTGGTTTCTAGATAAATACCACAAACTGGACAGACTTCATCAACATCAACATGCCTTCTTTTCGAGTTTGCTTTACAAGGAAAGGAATCCCGCAACACTCTCCACACAAAAAGTTTTGCTTTCTCTGGAACCTGCACTTGCCATAGCTTGTTCCATGGAAAATTTGAGATCGCGAAATCTTGGTCCACCATATCCATAGCCATCTGATATCCTTCCTTGACTTGATATTCACCCCTCTTTTTCAGCCATTGAAAAACCAGTCATCAACTATAACTCTAGAAGATATAGGTATTTGTAAGATAAGATCTGCATCTCTCGGGGTAAAATGATTACGAATTAAAGGCTCATTCCATTGACAACTGATAATCAAATCTGACACCTATGCAACTGATGATCTGCTAAAAAATCAGTTTGAATAGTAGGCATAAATTCATCCATCAATCATGGCTCTCTCCATATATTAAGGGTAGAACCATCTCCTACTCTTCGCCTGTATTCCCTAAGTAAAATAGGACGTAGAACACATATACTTCGCCATATTTAACTTGGATTATGACCCACTTCAGCCTCAAAAAAGTCAAATAACGAGCCTTTAAATTCTTTGAAGGCAAAAAACTAGGATAGTTCAACAATCTCCAACCTTGCTTGGCTAGAAGGCGAAAATTGAATTGTCAAAAGTCACGGTAACCAAGACCTCCGTCCACTTTCGGAACTGTCAGCTGACGCTGTTGAGGCCAATGAAGTCCATAATTACCAA